TGTTGCTCGAACAAAGCCATTTGAAGGGTAAGGGTTTTCCAGCTGTGGAGAGTTAGGGTTGCATTTCCATATCGTCGCTTTATTCCTCGAATCGCACGTCCAGTTGGCACCGTCAACGGTTTTATAGGGTTCACTGAGTAAGGCCACATCGATCTGCTTCTCAAGCACTGACTGTTTTAATAAGTCATGTGCTGCTTGACAGTGGTTTAGGTTAAGTTGTAAACACCTCATATTAATTTTTGAGTTTGAGCCGCTTTCTTGTATACCGGGCATCTGACGCTCCCAGTAAAGTGATCAGTTTCACTGGAGCCAGCTTTCAAGCAAAGCATGCATTTTGGCTTCTTGGCACAGTCCGTAGCCTGGTGTTCACCCTCACCACATCTTCTACATAGTTTAGACCTGTCCTCGTTTTCGCAGCTTTTCGCTGTGTGGCCATAATCGAGGCATCTGTAGCACCGTTGTGGCTGCCTATATTCTCTGATACGGCATATTACCCACCCTACTTTTAATTTCTTGGATTGAAGTAGTTTCCTGGCATTCTCAACTGGGAGTTTAATAAGCGCTGTTTGAGTGTCTCTGTAGGACTTTCTTAGGCTCTTTATAGCTGAAATCGTCAGATCGTTGTTACCCAACTCTCTCTGTAGAGCATAAAGTACTTCTTCCTTGGTTGTAATTTCATCCAAGTCTTTACACTCTATAAGTGTCTCCTGGGTCAGAACTTTTATATTTGCTTGGTCACCAAGGCATTTCCTCATTGTTTCCTGCGAGTCGGCTGATATTGCTGAACCACTTAGTTGCAGCAGCATTTCACCGCCTTGTGTTTTACGAATTCGGGTAACTTTCTTTTCGAATTCGCTGAGAGTAGAATCGGACTTAATTTTCCTAAGAATTTCGGCATAAGTAAGATTTCCATTCTTAGAAATTAATATCGCCTGGGGTTTTGTTTTTGGGGGTATTCCACGGCAGTGTTTTTGGACTTTGAGGGTCATTTGGGTTATTACCTTTATTTTGTTGGGTTTCCTTAGGTCTCTTTGATGGTGGATTTACAGCGCCTTCAAAAGTGTGAGGTATAGCGCGGTCATTTGTTATTATTGATCGCTTAGCTTGACCAATCAAATTTGTATTTGCGCGAGTTTTTGGCGAGTTTGTGCATGTTCGCTTAATTTGTTGCTGCGTGTGCTCATCTTCTATTGGTTCATCAGTGTGCATAGTGCGGCCTCTTTTCGGCTGAATGATTGAGTGGGTGGTTGACTCTTTGAATTCAGCTAGTGCTTGTTTTTGTAGCTGCGATATCCTATCAATGATATTTTTCATATTCTGGTTCACATGTCTTTGTTTTTGGCCATGTGTGAGAGCAATTAGTTCATCTATGAGCACTCCCAATGCAGTGAGCACGTTTTCTCCTTCGCTCATGTTTATGATGGGGTCAGTTTTAGTGTCGCTTTGTGTTGATGGCAGATTGACTACGATCAAATTATCAGCTGTTCGCGTTGGTTTATTGCAATGGGTCATATCAAGCGCAGTTGGCGTTGCAGTGTTGACCGATTGTACGCTGGGCGTTATCACCCGTCGCTCGGGTGATCGGGCAGTTTTGCTGCTCCGTGTAAATGGACTAATTCCAGCCATTTCACTTTTCTCCTTGGTGTCTGCTATGGGATTTGCTGTTTTTGCTTTAGTTGACATTTTTTAGCCACATAAACAGAAATCCTCTAGCGCTGGTGTTGAGCAGAGATTCCTCAGGATCAGGCCTCAAAAAGAATTAAAAAAGGGAGACGACAATATGAGCAGCTGAGAGAGCGCTCTTTGCGTATTCCCTTTTGTGCGGACCTTTGCCCGACAATAAATAAATATTTTGAAATAGAAATAGCACTTACCGCTTGTACGACTTTTCTGTCGATTCAATTTAGTGCCGGTTTGCTAGTTGCGTTTGCAGTCTGTTTTTTCGCGCACTTGCGGACTTAAAACACTTTTGTAAAACTTTGTTTATGTTCCATAGGTTGGGACACTCACAAAACACGTCCGTACTTGTGCACTTCAACTATCATATGTATGTATGTATGTATGTATGTAGATGTTGCCTTAGGTTTTTGTCACCGCTCTTATGTTTATGAGTTTATTTTGAGACAAAACCAATAGTGCACTCACAGCTTGCACGATTGTTAAAGAAACTGAAATTGCGCTATTATTTTGTTGCGCAATTTAGCGCAGGACTGATATCGTATTCGAATGTGGTGTGTCTGTTGTGGGGACTGTTATATTTGTTGCTTGGTGGTGTGGGGTGTCGTCGTCATGTGTTAACATCTTGCTCAGTATGGTGGGGTTCTCAGGTGTAGTGTGTTGCAATAGGGTGCTCCAGTTTTTATTGAATAGAGTGATGTATAAGTACGCGGCTTAGCTCAAACACACACACTTTTTTTCGACAAACATTTGTACATGGTTGTAATTTTAAGAAATGATGCAAAAATTTGTCGGACGTGCTCATCACAAAAATCGTTAAAAAAAGCCCTTTTATAGTAACTTCCAGGCTGGTAAAAAATTATTTGCAGATTTAAATTTGAGTCTGGTAAGGAAAAACTATTTATTAGACGACCCCATTATCAGCAATTCAACGCACATTATATTGTACAACGAAGACTATAAAGCGTGGAGGTCTGAAGCTGATGTTATGAGGATGGTGTGGTGTTGGGCCTCTAGTAAAAATCACCAACTACAATTATTTGCCGAAAAAAGTATAAATAAAATATTTTTCGCAAAACGTTATTCATGGATTTCTATGTTCGCTTTGTTGTTCTTAATATTTCAAACACGTCTGCATATCAAATGGTTGTTAATGTGAGGTTAAGTTAGGCCAAAGACTCGAGCATAGAAACTGACAGTATTGGGAAGAAAATTTTTGTTTGTGCGTCGATCTCACCAAAGGCAATATATTCTCGCAAATATCAGTATCAAATAATTAATTTATATCCATTTTTAAATAACAGGTGTTAAATAATTTACTTTGAATTTAAGTTATTGTTCTGAAGAATTTTTACTTATTAATCAAATTGTAGTGTTTAGTGGTTCGATAACTATTTATTTTTATTATTTACACTTACAGGAAAAAATATTAAATACCACAAGAATACATGTATTGATCACAATAATAACATTCGATTTCTGTACCCACTTATCGAGCCAATTGTGCTACGCATTGCATTTCTCATATTTCACGGTGCCCACCCGACCCTTTTGGGTTGATAATAAGTTTTGTTTCTATTTATCCGAAGGATATCCTAGTTCATTTTATGAAGGTAGGTTAACTCAGTTCCGTTCGGTAGTCAGTGGTATTTAGAAGAGATGAAGATGTTTTTTTATGATGCCATTCTGGTTCCTATATGTCGATGTGTTAATCTGTACTGCCGCAATGTAAAAGTTGAACACAAGTTGGAACTGGAAATACACAAAAATGTTGTGCCAGTAGGATCGCAGTCTCCAATAGCAATAACATTATTCTCACATTTTGCGACGATTGCAAACTATTTATTTCCACAAAATCATCGCAATCAGGAAGCCTATAAATAACTTTCACCACCCAAAAAAGTTATATTTGTATGCTTATGGTATATAATAACTTTTCAAATAGCTCATATCTCTTGCCAAGATTTGCCTCTTATGTGATTGTGGTATCTGTCGTAAATTCTAAGTATGTTGTCAAATTTGTGGTTTAGACTAAGAATCGAAGTGTTTAATTTATAATATATGGTCGTTCATTTTTGCCGTACAATCGTCATTAAAAAGGGTACTGAAAACCTAGACAAAGTAACAAAATCAATGATGGGTAAATGCGCGGTTTCTGTTTACACCGATTATTTTATGTATGGCTCACCCTGCGTTTGTGAGAATCCTGCTTCCCACATATTTTATTATTTATACCATAATATTTTATTATTTATTCACATATTAGCAGTGTTGATTCTTTAGTCCACTATAAGTTGTGGTCTAGTTGGGTACTTTTGAAATAATAACTTTTACAATTTATTTTCCTTAAGACTAGCCCTAACTTCCTGAGCGGATGTGTGTCCAAACGTTTAGTCAGCATGTTTGGTTGCTGTCGAAACCCACCTATTAAGCTAACTGTGCTACAATGTATGAAATTTACAATTTTTGTTAGATAAAATATTATTTATTTATTTATTTTTCATATATTCATATTAACTATTTATGTATACTTGAACTGAAATGAAATTTTTCGAATTTCGAAAAATCGTCAAAGTTTAATTTTTAATTTGTCGTTTAGAACCAAAAACGATTATTTTACGAGAAAAGCTTGAGTATCGAAAAAATGCAGGTACACTTGAATTATTTGTCTCAATTATACTACTTTATTAACTACCATTGACATCAATAACGTAATAATGCTTCCTCGGCATTAATACAATTAAATTCGTAAGGTCGGACTGATTTCAGTTTTTATCTTTCTTGATTAATTCTTTTGGCCAAAGAGTTTGCAGCTGTACTTTTAGAGCACGTATATTCTGCACAATAGAGCTCGGGGTTTCGATGAAATCTATTAGCACAATTTGTACGTAATTGTTGTAACTTGGGGATCACGAAATTCAAATTCGTAGACGAAGAATATCCTTATTCTTTTTTCCCATTTTGATAAAATGCATTCCCATACCATTACTGACTGCTTTCAAAATTTTACAATTTGGATTGGCAATTTTTTGGCTCCAACTCTTCTACGTAAATTGTAGTACGCATACCTAGTTTCATTAAAATATCTCTTCTTATGTACGATATGTAATTTTAAGTTAACCGAATTAACAATACGTTTAAGTTAAACCCTTAAACGTTTTGGATTCGGTTGCTGTTATTGTAACTGCTTAAATGTAATTTCCAACACCATAATTTATTTATTTTCTTCTTCAAGTTTATGTAGAGCGAAGGCTAACCTTAACCTTTTTGGTCACGATTTTATAATCAGATATATAGTTGTAGTATAATTTGTTTATTTTCAGATGAGTTGATCGAAAAATCAGCAATTATTCGGTTGATAAAATGTTTACCTGTGAGTTTTGATGCATATAATAGCAGTCTGGAGACGGCGCTTTATGCACTTTCTGAACTTTCAAAAAGTAATAAGTGGATGATTGAAGAAAGTCAAGAAGGAAAATTGAAAGAATTAGCTACTAGTGTTACTGAAAATATTACGAGTGTAGAAGAATATGGGGTAAGTGTATATAAAATTTTTTGAGAAAAAACAAATTGATTAAAGCTTCTTTACGGTTTCCAACTCAAATGTATTTTTTTTTTTTAAAGTTATCGATATCAACCCAATTCGTTAAAGAGACCTCAGTTAAAGGACTGTCAAATTTCAAATCTTTAGTGGTATTAAGTTTTTGGGCGTTTTTCGGCAATCGTTCTTTTTATTTTGATGAATTGTTATCGGTAGCATTCACCATTTATAGTTTCACACTGTTTTAGAAGCTCGTAACACCAAGTCTTTCTGATCCCACCAAACACAGAGCGTTACTTTGGCGTTATGGATTTTTTTTTTTTGCATTTAGGGTTGTCATATTGAAACTACTCTTCATAATGTACTTTTTGAGTAAAATTAAATATCTGTGACTAACAATTGATAGAGACGTACATAAAGAGATCACGTGCAAATTAAGAAAACCCCGTTCAGGTTAAGGTTTGAGCAGCTGTACTGGCTCCTAAAGTCAAGATCCCGTCTCAGTCTAAAGAAAACGCTACTCATATATAAAGCAATACTCAGCCCGCCCTGGTCGTATGGAATTCACATCTGGTTGAGCTCAGCTGATTCAAATTTTAAAGTTAACGTACAACATCATTATTTTTGTCAGCAAATTTAGTTATTGTTATTTTAATGATAAGACAGATTCTAAATAAAACTAAATCCCATACTATAAAAAAATTAACTTTTTGAAGCGTTTTGCTCCTTTTCAGTCATTACTTCGTGTTAGGATTCCAATCACATCACATCAGTTTTAACCCCAACATTTCCGTCGTTGTTAAAAAAAATCTAAACTACTTAATGTTCATTTTTATATTAACTCATCCTTTCGTGTTTTAATTTTTCGTTTAAAAATTTTCAGCTGCTGAACTATTTGTCAAATCTTTAATTATTTAGGTTGGCAACATCAATGAAGAAAATTAATTGTAGCTTGTAATACAAAAAAAGAGTTGGGTAGATTTGAAGTTTATTGCTTTAACCAATTTAACTGTGTGGAGTTGGAAACTGTAATAGGGGTATAAACAGGTTTGCTTGCTATGCAAATAAAATGAGCATGTAAATATATATACCTATTATAATAGAGCATTTATCAATAAAGTCAATAAAGAGGCTATGTCCACTTGCAATTCAGAAAAAATGAGCTTTTTTGTGATATTTTTTTGAGGAGGCATTTTATTTAACAAATAAATAAACAAATGTGATTTCATGTACTTAAAAATCGCCGATTAAATTTTGGATTCCTTCTTATAGCCGATCTCCAAAAATTAAAATTATCTGAAATCCAAAACAAAAAAATAAAAAGGTCGAAGAGACTAATCAAAATATTGATTTTTGACAAAAATGCATCTCCCTAAAAAAGTGTTTCAGAAAAGAATTTCTACTTCTCAGAGTGGAACAAAAATTCTTGTTAAAATATTATTGCTTCGATCATTACCTTAAAACTATAGCTAAGGAGATAGTGTGAAAATTTCATCCGAAATTATGCTCACCGCCTCGCGTAAAATTTGTTGGAAGATATATCGTCAAAGAAAAAATCTTTCCATACAATCACTTGATTCCGATTGATTCGGTTTGTATTACAGCTATATATAATATATATATGTGGCAATATCATACACTACCGACAGGCTACAACTATGTTGTACTATGTTACCGACCGTCAAAACGCACAACTCTACCGACCGGCAACCCTTTACTACATTTTTATATGTAAATTCATAAGCAACCTCATCCCTCATCCTGCAGTCCCTTTTCTCACGGACACCGAGCTAATCAGACGTGCTAGCAGCAACAACCATTAAAACTGGTGACCCCGAAGATTCAAAGAAAAATTTTCAGATGGCACAACAAGGTGAAAATAACGCGCATCGTCACCCCATAACGTTCGACAGGCAGTGCAACCGCAAAGCATTTCGCCTAGATCATCAATCAAGGTGCATCAGCCTGAGTTTCACGTGGACGCAGCTATGGTACCACGCATAAGCCCACCCAATATGAACGAAACAAACATCGCGTTGTATTTTTTGTCATTGGAGTTCTGGTTCGCAGCTACCGGTGTGACACACGACACAAGGAGATACAACCTGGTCATGGCACAAGTTCCTCCAAGCAATCTAATGGAGCTTAACCGCTACGATCTTTCGGATATGCCCTTGGGTGATTGAAAGCCAAACCAACTTTTCAACGATATGCGACGAGTGGCTGGCACCGCGCTCTGTGAAACAGTACTTATCGATCTGTGGGCCTCACGTCTACCATCCCACGCTCATGCTGCGGTAATCGCATCAAAAGGTGACGTCGCAGATAAAATTGCAATTGCAGACGCCATCGCCGATTCTATGAATTTTAGACAAATTAACGTAGTAGGTAATCAACAACCAGCAATAAGCGCCGCCCAAGCAGGCCAAGAAATCCGAAACGAAATCGCTCAGTTCACGAAGCAGATGGAAGTTATCAAATCGCGACGACCAAGGAGCCGCAGCCAAAGCCGACAGAGCCACCAACGATATGTGCACCAGGAGCCTACGTACACGAACGAGTTATCTTGGTATCACCATAAGTTCGGCACCAACGCTCGAAAATGTAGGAAACTCTGCTCATACAACAACCTGGAGAAAAGCAAATCGCTGACGTTACGTGCGGAATTATAGGAGCCGACTTTATAAGCCACTATAAGCTACTGGTCGACTTAAAAAGGAAACGATTAGTCGACAACTTAACATCAGTAGCATCAATAGGAAAACTTGTCAGTAGCGAAGTCTTATCAGTAAAAACATTTGACACGTCCTGCGAATATACGAGCTTACTTAAAGAGTTTGGTAACATAACACGGTTGGCTCAACTCGGAAGCCCAGCTATGTCTGAAGTGGACCATCACATCGAAACTCGCGGTGCGCCCTTATCAGTCTTTTTCCAGATAAACTGGCAGCGGCTAAGGCAGAATTTGACAGTCTAATAAAACTGAGCATTTGCCGTCCATCGAGCAGCAGTTGGGCTAGCTCTCTTCGCATGGTAAAGAAAGCAGACGGTACATGGCGGCCAAGTGAAGATTTCAGAGCACTCAACACCGTTACAGTCCCAGACAGGTATCCAATACCATATCTTCAGGATTTCACTAACAATTTAAGAGGTAAGACGATCTTTTCCAAGATCGATCTACAAGAAGCCTTCCATCAAGTTCCTGTAAATCCAGAAGAGGTACCGAAAACGGCTATCATCATACCTTTCGGCCTATTCGAATTTTTGTATATGCCCTTTGGTCTTCGTAATGCAGCGCAGACATTAAAAAGGCTTATACACAAAGTCCTACGAGGACTAGAATTTGTATTTCCGTACATGGAGTATTTCTGTATAGCATCATCATCTCTAGATGAACATCTATTACACCTTCGCCGACTTTTTGAACGTCTACAGAAGCATAATTTAAGGATCAACGCTACCAAGTCTGTCTTCGGAAAAATGGAAATAATCTTTTTAGGTCATACTGTCTCAGCAGAGGGAATAAGACCACTAAGACATCGCGTACAAGCTATTATAGATCTCGAAAAACCAACTACCGTCAATGGCCTCAAGCGATTCTTAGCCACAATTAACTTCTACAGACGATTTATTCCACACGCCATCAAAACGCAAATACCACTGTTAGCCATGTGCCCTGGAAACAAAAAGAACGATCGCTCTCAGCTCTAATGGACTGATATTACGACAGCAGCGTTTGAAAAATGTAAAACCCAGATTGCAAATGACTCTCTTTTGGCACATCCCTCAAAAAACGCAGCTATGCCACTATGGGTCGACGCCTCGGATACAGCCGCAGGAGCTGTTTTGCACCAGGTAACAGGAAGCAACTTTGAAACGTTAGCATACTTCTCCAAAAAATTCGACAAAACTCAGAATCCTGAAAAATGCTCGCCAGCTTGATTACATTTCTTAAATAACCATAGATATTCGCCACGTACAGGGGAAAGCCAATTTAACAGCTGACATGCTTTCAAGAATAGCACAAATTCACGCAACCAGCATAGACTACTACAAACTTGCCGAAGACCAGCAAGTTGATCAAGAGATCAAATTCCTTCGCTAGAACAACAGTAATTCATCTCTTCACCTAAAATTTTTCACAATACCCGGATGCGACAAACAAATAGTCTGCAACTCGTCAACTGACAACATTAGACCATTCATTACAAAGAAGTTTCATTCTGAGATGTTACGAACAACTCATGGGCTATGCCATCCAGGTACACGTGCTACAGCTAAACTCCTAACCAGCAGATTCGTCTTGCCTGGAATCCAAAAAGACAGTGTAGCTTTCGCATGAGCATACGAGCAATGCCAAAGAGCTAAAATAACTCGACACACATTTACGCCTCTTTAACGCTACGAATCGGGAGACACGCGATTCGATCATATTATGGACAGGAAAAGATGGTAATCACGTGGTGCCAGGTCCGGACTATAAGGTGGGTGCATTAGGACCTCCCATCCGAGCTTCCGGAGCTTCTGGCGCGTCACCAAAGACGTGTGTGATCTGTCGTTGTCCTGATGGAACACAATTCGGCCTCTCATCAAAGATGGCCTCTTCTGGATGAGTGCTGCCTTCATGCGGTCCAGTTGTTGGCAGTAGAGGGCCGAATTGAGCGTTTGGCCATAGGGGAGCAGCTCGTAGTAGATGATTCCTTGCCAATCCTACCAAACACACAGCAAAATCTTCCTGGTCGTCAATCGGGTCTTGGCCACCATCTGGGCCGCTTCCCCGAGCTTTGACCACGACCGTTTGCGCTCGATGTTGTCATAAGTGACCCATTTTTCATCGCCAGTCACAATCCGCTTCAGAAACGGGTCGGGTTATGCAAATGGTTCCAAACGCTTTTCTGGCTTATCTTTAGTTCCTCAGAAATTAAATAAGTGCTCACGTGACGGTCTGTTTCCACTATTTCCATGATTTTATCGCAATTTTCGATGACAGGCCTCCCGACGCGTGGTGCATCTTTGACATCGAAATTACCGGAACGGAACCTAGCAAGTCACTTTTGTGCTACACGTTCGCTTACAGTATCGGGCCCATAAACTAAATTAATGTTTTCAGCCGCTTTGGCTGCTTTTTCGCTTTGATCGAAGAAAAATTGTAAAATATAGCTAATTTTCTCTTTGTTGGTGTCCATCTTTGACGAGCGCTCACAACGAACTGAGTAAATCAATCGAAAAACTGTCAAAGACAAACTTTTAGCGCGAATAAACACGTTTTCAGCGCCGTATAGTATGACATGATGCGACACGTAACACAAGTACTATGGACAATAACGCAATCTTTTAGATAAAAACCGAACGAATTTTTTACTTGACCTAATATTAACGTCGACGTCGTAGGTCCCTTTCCTTTACATGCCGGTAACCGCTACTGTCTCACAAACATTGAACGTTTCTCAAAATGGCCAGAGGCGGTTCTCATATCCGACATGACAGCGCCAATCACCACCTACAGGCAAAGGGAATAGTAGAAAGATGGCATCGAACCTTAAAATCATAAATTTTATGCATCAACTAGGAACGTTGGACCGACTTCCTGTTTACTATACTCCTAGGCTTACGAACCGTCTACAAGCAAGACTTAGGAGCATCACTGGCCGAACTAATTTACGGTACGACATTGCGAATTCCTTCACAATTTTTCATACATGACAGCCGACTTAAAACGCAAACAGAGTTCGTTACCCAACTCAGAGACGTAATGAACACAATCAGACCATCGAAGACAGCATGGCATGGACAGAGGAAAGTATTTGTGCATCCCGACCTTGCTACTTGCCCAAATGTCTTCGTAAGAAACGATTCAGTTCGTCCATCATTTTTGAAACCTTACGAAGGACCGTACACAGTTTTATCTCGCGCGGAAAAATATTACATAATTGCAATAAAAGGCAAATCAGAAAACATTTCGATAGACAAATTGACGAATAAAAACTCGAGAGATTGCTCAAAGAATAAATTTGTCTAACGCCACCATTCACAAGACCATGAAACTTCTAGGACTAATTTCGAAGCTGGATATATGGGTTCCTCATGTTTTTACCGAGCGAAATTTGTTTCGTCGCATGCACGACTGTGCTTTGCTTATCAAACGTCAACGAAGTCATCCATTTTTAACCACATTGTAACTGGCGATGAAAAGTGGATTGGTTACAAGAATGTAAAGCGCAAGAGATCATGGTCTAAAAGGATGAACCAGCTCAAACCACTTCGACGGCCGATAGTCACTAAAAAAAGGTTATGTTGTGTGTTTGGTGGGATTTCAAAGGGATCGTTTATTTTGACCGTTTACCCGACAAAACCACGATTAATTTTGAAGTGTATTGTGATTAACTGGACAAATTGAGTAATACACTCAAACAGAAGAGGCCAGAATTGGTCAATAGAAAAGGTGTAGTGTCCCACCAGGATAATGCGAGACCTCTTACAGTTTGATGACTCGCCAAAAGCTTTTGCAGCTTAAATGTGATGTACTACCACATCCACCATATTCTTCAGACTTGGTACCTTCGGACTATTACTTGGTCCAGTCTCTGCAATATTTTTTGGATGGAAGAAGCTTCACCTGAAATCAGGACGTCAAAAACCACTTAGACCAGTTTGTTTGCCGGCAAGGACCAAAAATTTTATGAGCGTGGAATGAATCTCTTGCCCGGAAAATTGCAAAAGGTATTGGATCAAAATGGAGAATATATAATTTCATAAAATATTTTACACAATAAAAAAATCGTGTTTAAATTGCACTAAAAAAATGAAATTACTTAGTGAATGACCCAATACGAGGTGTGTTCAAAGGAAAGGCCGAATTTGTGATTTTAAGAAAAGTACTTATTTATTCAAAAATATCTATTTTGTCCCCCTCGGATATAATACACTTGTGCCAACGCTTTTTCTAATTTTCGAAGCACTTCTGAAATGCGCTTTTCGGTATGGCCATCAGCGTTTTCTTCGATTTTTACTTGATCTCATCAATTGTGGCAAAACGCTTTCATGATTATGGTTTTTTTTTGGCCGAAGAATAACGAATAAGCATTAATATGTGAGCTGTTGCCACACGTTTCATGCCAGAAACATTCGAGAAAATTGAATGTCATGAGCCGATTGATATGCCACCAACCTCTGCAACTTCCCTAATAATGATTCAACGATTGAATCGATGAACATTTTTTTTTCCATATTTCGATGTTTTCTTTGCTTATTGACGTAGTCGCGCCTCCAAGATGGTCATCGTCATCAACATCACAGTTAACATTTCAAGTGCCTTGGAGCACTTCATTCTATTTTTAACGCAACATTTAATAAGTATTCTTTGATCCATTTTCTGTTGTCAAAATCAAACTACTAATCGAAATTGGCTCCTAATGCAAGCACATGATAAACATATGTGTCCGATTATAACAACACAAAATAACGATAATCGAATGTACACAGCCTGCAAAAATCAAAATTCACCTTTTCCTTTGAACACACCTCGTATGTATCTTTTATAGGGTCTTCGACGTTTTCTTTTGGACTAACTTGGTGGCAAAATTTTTATAACCTGTTCAGGATATAAAAATCTTACGAATACTTCATATCTTCGAAACTATTTGCCGGGTCAACTTCAAATTTTCGAAGAATATTCTTAAATATATTTACATTCGATATGCAAAAAGAAAATCGGTTTTTTGAAATTTACAGGTGGATATAACCCCTTAAAGAGTGAATTCATAAACACAACCGTACTAATTGTACACTATGACTTTTAAAGATAATCAATTATGCTTGTATTTTGATAATATTAAATCTTGAAACTTATATAAACAATTTGTATTATATTTTAAGGAAGTTTATCGACATTCATGCGCAATTCTTCGGAAATTGGAGACACATACGAATTCAAGATGAAATGGTCCCCACTACTAAAAATTCAAAGATGAAATGGTGTCACTTATAAAATTTTAATTAGTCATTAAAAGAGTTGTAATAACTTAAATATATTTGAATATACATGCATAAACTCAATATTTTGTATTTCAATAATTTTAGCGAATAAGTAGATAGGGGATGTACGAGCAAGCAAATAACTGCATCAATATTGCGACATTGTTCTTTTTCTGCACATACTTAAATAATTATACTGCAACATGTTTGCATCAAATATGATGCCTTGCTATACCGCCGTAGTAATTGAGACTCGAATCTCATCGTCATATTTTATGATACTCCTAGTGGCAACAATAAAGTTAAAAAAATTGTCTACCTCTTATTACATTAGTTTCATAAAATTACACCACAAACTCATCCTCCCTGTCAGAAACTTTGTTTAATATCAAACGGTTCGCTAAGATTCTCCCCGATTCTTACTGAGCTGCTGCAGTTGTTAGTCTTTAATTTCAACAGCGTGAACATTTACGACGACTTGGGTGAGTATAGCAGCAATATATAATCATCATTAGCCATTTTTGTGTGTTATGTACAGAAATATTAAATACTGTAAGTTGATCAAATCCAGTTGTCTTTATTATTATAAATTAATAATTGAATATGTTGTAATTGCGGAGAAATCCGATAATGGTCGGGCTAAGAATTGAAACTGATAAAATATGTCATGAAATGTCATGAGTTCTGATATTATTGGTGTCAGAATTTTATGGGTTATGCTATCAAGAAAGAAATCAAGACATGACCGACAGATTCGAAATATTAAGTTTTAATTTATTTCGATTTGTCGTTAAGATAGTTTGAAACATTTTAAGTAAGGAAATTTGTATTCATTAAGATAAGACAAGGTTCGTGAAATCCCAGAAAGGGATATTACTGGGTGGAAAATAAATAACTTTGCGTAAGTTGTTACTCTTGTAAACTTCTTCTTAGTTTAGATCATTATTGAAGGTGGGTCATTCACGAAATAACAACCAACTGCAACAGCAAAAACCATCCTCAGATTAAGGGTTTTCGGTAATGCAAACTGCGCAGTATGCATGATGCAACCAGTTCGAAAAAGTAAACCTGGCATCTTTGCCGAAATTAAAAGTTCGATTTGAAAAGTAGTTGCACAAAAAATTACGCCAAACCCGACTGTGCTAGCTAAAATATTATGGTATGATTTATGTTAAATATAATTTTAATATTATTGCTCTTTTATATTCGAGGATTTTTTTTAATTTTATAACACATGTACTGAAAAGTCCCGGGCCAGAAAACATGGTTTGTTTTTGTTCAAAATTGACTTTAGTCATCAATATAATTTCCATCAACATCCTTACGATGTCACCTATATCACGCAACTTCACACCCGATCATTCAGAATGATTTTGTGGATTTCCCCATTACTACTAATACTAAAGATAAGTAACCGCTACGATTTCTAAAACTTAAATCACTTAAATGTAGCTTTCCTTTGCCGGTACTCTCGATGTTTTCTTTAAGCTGTTTAAGCATTTTGTTGTTGATATTTCTTAACACATGGGCTAAGAAGTTCCGGGTCTAACAGAGAAAATACGTATATTTTGTTCCAAAATTGGCTTTATTCAACAATATAACAGGGAATAAGGTGGATGCAGTAGTAATTTAAAGTGCAATGCAATCGATGTTTTCTTTAAGCTGTTTAAGCATTTTGTTGTTGATATTTCTTAACACATGGGCTAAAAAGTTCCGGGTCTAACAAAGAAAATACGTATATTTTGTTCAAAATTGGTTTTGTTCAACCATATAACAGGGAATAAGGTGGATGCGGTAGTAATTCATTTTTGTCATTTTTTTCTTTGCCATATGCGGTCGCTTTTTTACAAGCCACACTGTTTTGCATTGGTGTCTACCACCACGTTTGAAGTCAGCAAACCAACGTTTTATTGTGGATTTTGATGGAGCTGAATCAACATAACACTTTTTAAGTCATTGCTTCGCTTGAACGGTATTTATTCCCATCAAGAAGCAGTGTTAAAACAAGAAATTGCTTATCATCCATTGTTCTTAAAATAACAATAGTAGCGTCACTCTTAGCACAATAACTCGCAGTTAGTACTAATTGAAAATTAGGTGAATCCAATAAAACTAGCGCCATCTATTTCTGAGGCCCGGAACTTTCCAGCCCATTTGTTATTTGAAATGTAGTTATTTGGTCTTCTGATATTTCTGTTATAGTTTTCACGATTGGGTACACCTTCGGAATGATGTCGCTCTGCTTTTTAAATATTATTCCTTATGCAATCCAATATGAGTTTTGCTAATTTACTGTCCAAAATAAATCCGCGAGTTTCCATTAAATTATATGCATCTCCTAGTTGTGTGTTGGGTAGTTGTTCAGGTATTAAAAGCTTTGCTGGCAGTTTGGCATTATTTAACATCAATTCTTTTTGTAATTGTGTAGGAGTTAACAATGTTGGATTTATTCTCCCGTGATTCAAATTTATCAGTAATTCTATGACTGCCTTTTGTACTTTTTCACATTCGCTCATCAATATTGTGATTATGTCACTAACAATTAAAATTGAATGGCAATTTTGTCACGGTTTATGTCTTTTATCATCTCGGATTGGTATTTGTTTATTTGTGTTTTGATTTTGAGGAACTGTAGATTGACTTTATTCAAATTTTTATTTACAATGTTTGCTGTAGAATTTATCAAAGAAATTTGAGATTTAAGCTTGTTCTTGATTTGATGTTAATTGTGAAGTAACGTTTTGAAAGTATTTTCACTTCTTGGTCATCGGTATCCACTAAACCAAACAGCATGTTATTAATAGAACCAATCCATTCTAATGAAGCTCTTTTCTGCCTTTATTTCATCAGAGAATGTTGAAGAATAGAGAAGGAGCAAATGTTAACTGAAAACTTTTTGAGTACTAATTTGTAATTCCACATGAGGGAACATCGAAAAATATAACTTCGAAAAAGAAAAATACACCACACAATGTGCGAAATGCTATAAATAGACACAACGAATATTCCTATATGAAAAATCGTTGCGCATACCTATTTAGATTTATGTTTTCAATTTCTATGATATGACAAATTTATAATTATGAAAAGCCTTTTGAATTAAAAAGGAGGATTACTGGCAAAAAACCCAGAATTCATAATAAAATAACCTTTGATATGCAATTTTTCCAACTTTTGCATATATGTGTTGCGTAAGCAATATACTTATCAAACAAAAGATAACAATAAAACAGTGGCTAAGCGGCCGCGTTTCCATTTATATAGTGGCTTAGGTCGTAGGCGTGAAGGAGTTAAGCTCAATCCGAATACGAGCATATTCGATGTTCGAATCGTAAAATACATAAAACTCAAAATTTTATTTAATTTTGTTATTTTATTAATTGGAGTCTAAGCATATCATAATTCAATTTCTTTAATAGCATATTTTACTTCCTAATATAATTAAAATATATCAGGAAAATATGTTCATATGATTAGATTTATTGAATATTTTCTTATTATGCGTATTTACACAAATGTGATAATCACACATACATTCTTAAATACACGTACGCAGATGCTTGCTTCTTCTTGCCCCGCACAAGCAATGACTTTTGTCTACGCTTTTTGCTTTTTGCGGGTTGAACGATCGCAGGCAAGGAGGGATTGGGGCGCACTGCCACATAATTATTTCAGATATATATTTTATTTATCGAATTTAGTTTAAAAACGATTATAGGTATGAGTTTATGTGTATTTATATATATATATAATATATATTATAGTACGAAAATAATTCATAAATGCATCAGTATTTTTCAATACAAATTAAGCAACATAATAATATACTAAGAGTCCTCAGTTAGAACGCCTCTGTGTATAGTGGCAAGCCAACGAAATAACGTCGAGTTCGCGCAGACATTGTGTTGTTGAAAGTAACCAAATGACGACAACCATACATATATACATATGAGTAATTATTCTCCATTTTATTACTTTAATTTTTGTTTATGCGCATATCAAAGAACATCTCTGCATATGTATGTATATACATTTTGCTTATAGAGTGGTGTAGTTCGTTGCGTAAATTGACAGGTGTGGTGACATTTTATTTTCGAACTTGCGCGTTTTCGATGTTCCTCCATCGTAATTAACATTTTAGTACTGCTAACATTTGCTCCTTCTCTATTCATTAACATTCTCTGCTATTGTGACAAAACTTGCAAATGGATAAATTTGGAGGTGTTTGATAAATTTGAATTACCGAATAAAGTCTACTAAAGTTAATGAGTTCAGCTATTTAAGTTTTTTTTTATTGGAAGAAAAAAACAACGAAAAAATTAAAAAGAAGATTTTAAAAGATCAAAGTAACCCTCAAGGCAATACCTATATTATTTTCTCGAATATTTTAGCAAGGTTAGAGATTAGAGAAATAGGCCGATAGTAATTTGCTAAGTGTTTGTCCCCGGATTTATGTATAGCTTTATTTATACATATATTGAAAATTTGCTCTAAAGGTATACTAATATCTTTGGCTATAATTTTTAAAATCGATTTATCTTTCATTTCTTTTATGATTTTCTCAATTATGCTTAACATTTTTATTTATGTCAATCGATATTTTATCAATTTAATAGCTAATTCAACTCCAATATTACTAAAGAAAGTTATAAACTCATCAGCAATAACCTGGTGATCGGATATGATTTCATCATTACATACTAGATAATCCAGTACTGGCGTTACTTTAGTTTTTTATTTACCTATTTTCATGCTAACGTATTGCCACATTTTTTTTACTATCTATTATATAAAAATAAGTCGGGTTTTCCTTCCTGACGCTATAACTCCAGAACGCACGAACCGATTTCCACGGTTTTGTATTCGTTGGAAAGGTCTCGGGCTCCGTGAGGTTTATAGCAAAGAAAATTCAGGAAATATTTTAACAGAAAGGCGGGAAAATCTTTTTTCACATACAGCGCCATCTCTGATACATAGCATGTACTACAAACCAATATTTTAAGTAGATGGCGCCGGTGCGTGATACATTGTTTGACAGCTACTCATTGTTCTCTGCGCAATTAATTTCATGTGACAAACCG